GGGCCCCGCCTCCCGCGGGGTATTGAAAGATTTGCGGGCCGCGCGGGTCTCGCTTGCTCCGGCCCGCGGCTGTGGGCGCTTGTGGCCTCGGGGCGCCCTCTGCCGGCGGCTCCGATCTCCTGCAGCCGCGGCCCACCGACCCCTGCCTGGTCGCAGGCGGGTCCCGGGCTAACTGGCCACGGGGTGTTCTCCCCGGTCCTTGCCCCAAGGAAAATGACTCCAAATTTGCTGACCACCCTCCACCGAAGCGCCATTAAAATATCACCTTTTTCTCTGTTGCCCCCCTCGACTCCTGGGCAATTAACCCCGTGACCAAGTTGTTTATGATTTTCAATTGCCACTTACCCAGGACGCCAAGCCCTGTTTTCTCAGCTGTGCAAGATTATTCCCACCGCCCGGCTGTGTGCTTGAATGCGCTCAAGTACATTCATGTGCGGGGCCCGAGAGAGTGAGCAGGACAGCTGGCTTTTATTTACGGCTTGGACCAGGGAATTGTTCCTGAAACTCGCCGGCTGGGAGAGTTCCTCTGTAGAAATCTCCCGGCGCTTGGCACGAAACCCAGGGCACTTTCAATCTGAAACCTAAATTGAGAATGTACTACGTTTTGGATGAGATGACTCGATGCTTTTAGAATGTATGTTTCGAGCACCAACTATATTTTTCTCCTAAAAGAAAAAAACAGGAAAAAAAGGAACAAAGAAAAAAAAAACAGAAATGAAAACCAAAAAGAGAGTGAAAAAGACCAGAAAAGACAGAGAAAGCTACTCTTTTTTTCTCCTCTGTTGGGCTGAAATATGCAGACCTTCGTCTGGGGGTGTTAGGCCGTTTCCAGAGACAGCCTTTCCTTCGTCACCACAGACATGCCGATGGCTGCAGCAGGAGGAAAGAGGGGGTGCAGGGCCCTAAGGGCAGGTGGGCGAGTGTGGCTGGACGCTGGCGCCCTGCGGATTTTGCTCTAACAAAATATCAGAGGCGGGCTGGCCAGTAGCGGGATCTGTTCTTGCTGGTTCTGGGGACACATCCCAGGCTTCCGGGGCACCCGCCTC